GGGTCAAAACTCATGGTCTAAATTGGCTCGCCTTGTTAATTGTTCTGCTCCAATGTAACTTGTTCAAAACAGGTCTGCTATCTGTTGGAGGAGCAAGGTCAGTGCTGCAATGGGGAATGTCTTGTATGTCGTATAGCAAAACAGTCAGGAGCATCAGGTGCACCTATGTACTGTGGCTGTCATAGCATTCTTATCTTGGAACAACTAACATTTCTATTTCAAATAGAAAACCATTGGCATTAATTCCCCCACACATATTTGATAGCTGGTTTTCAACTGCCACCAGCCACGGCTGATGACGTTGTGTTCGATGGTGATGTCAGACATACTGATGCTGTGGTATTTCTTTTGGAAGACACAATTTATTGTGGATTCCACTTCTCTGATTTATATCTGAACAATTTGGCAAAGACATATATTCAAATTGTTGTAAGATGACTTGCAGTGTCCAGACATCAAATGGCACACTGTCAATAAAACTATTGGAAATATGATTTTAATGCAGGTTTATCAGAAATAAGCAATCTTCCACGTAGAGTACTTTCTGATAGGTCTGTCTAATAATGTTGTATTTCATACATTCGGAAGAGCTCAGGCCAAGATTTCCTAACTAGCTATTTACTGTTGTTACATTCAATCTAACTCTTTTTTTATAAGGACCACCCTCAGGTGAATAAAAAGTAATCTTCCAAAGTCTTTCAGGATAGGTTCAATTCCATCAGTCAAGAATAACATGACATAGACATATATCTGTTGTTAACAAAATTTAATGTGGCACACACAACCACACACAACTAATACCCATGCACACTCACACTCACACTCACACACAACTAATGTGCACAAGACTCACATGGACTCACACACTCACAACTAACGCACAAGACTCTCATGGACTCACAACTAATGTACAAGCATAACACAAAAGCATACACACACAAACAAAAAACTAGCGTGTATACACTGACAGACACTCACAACTAACACTCACTCTCACACACACACAACTAACACAAATGCATAACACTCACACAGACACTCCCAACTAACACTCACTCACACACACAACTAACACAAATGCATTACACTCACACAGACACTCACAATTAACACTCACTCACACACACACACACACAACTAACACAAATGCATAACACTCACTCTCACACATACACAACTAACACTAACTCTCACACAACTAACACTAACTCTCACACAACTAACACTTACTCTCACACAACTAACACAAATGCATAACACTTGCATAGACACTCACAACTAACATACTTGCATAATATCCATGAACACACACCAACATAATACACAACTATAACACTCACACAGACACACACAACTAACATACTTGCATAATATCCACGCACACACACCAACATAACACACAACTATAAAACTCACACAGACACACACAACTAACATACATGCATAATATCCAAGCACACACACCAACATAACACGCAACTATAAAACTCACACAGACACACACAACTAACATACATGCATAATAAAAAAACTAACGCACATGCATAACACTTGCACAGATACACACAACTAACACTCACACAGGTACACACAACTAACACACATTCACACAACTAACACACAGGTACACACAACTAACACACATTCACACAACTAACACACATTCACACAACTAACACACAGGTACACACAACTAACACACATTCACACAACTAACACACAGCACATTCCACTAAGCAGTAGAGACATTATTACAGTTTGTGACCAGGATTAATTTGTACGTAATCAGTCCTAATAGATAGAGTTATGGCAACAGGATGAAATAGGGTCTATATTTAGAAACTTGGTCACAGTCAAGACTCTGTATGGATGCCAGATGTTCTCCCCTCAACAAACAATATGTACCAGCTTTATGGCTGTTTTTATAAGCTGCCTGGTGATTGCTACCAGTTTGATGGTTTTGCTGATATTGTTTCCTTCTGATTGCCACCATTTTATGTTTTTTCTATAAACTATTTTGCAATTGGTATAATGTTTATGGTTTTTCTCTCTACTCTTTCTCAGTATAAGATAATTTTCTTAGTTTCCTTTTTAATTTTGTTCCTCATTACTTGTTAATGTTAAGGTCAAGTGAACCTAGCTTGTCAAAGATAATTTAAGGCCATTGATCACACTCCTTAGTAGATGTTTATCATATTAGGTGCCAACAGATGCAAGCTCAGAGTAACATTTGACTTGGTGGTGATTGTAGTTAGATATGGTGGTCAATGTTGAACAGATACAGATAGGGAGGGTTATGTAACGGGTGGAGCATGCTTCCTGGGGGATCTGTCAGCACCAGTTAATGATGATACACTGTGATCACAGGGGTTACTCAGTGTAACTGGTACTGGGATGATCGGCATGCAGCTGTTACTGTCAAACACAACACAAACAAGAGAAAATAGGTCACATTCCCTTACACAAATAACTGCTCTTGAAATGAAATTATAGATCCTGAAATTTTCGATTAAAAAGAAGAGTGGCGATGTATGATTTAGACTAACTGCTGTTTGAAAAGTACATGTGGTTTATTGTGTATATAGGCATTAGACCCCAGAGGAGGAAGCAATTAGATGATCAGGGTTGTGTAATCAGTGCCCCCTCAGCCTGTGGAGACATCAGCCTGCTTATCTCTAATACAGACAATTCATCCATATCTATCAATCAAGTGGCCTGCAATTTTGTATCTCATTATTCATATGATTATATAAGATAAAGTTAGTTATCAGAGGCTGTGTAGTTTTGGGAGTCCTTCATTAGTTTGTTGAGCTACTGGTCGGCTGTGGCCTACAGATGGCTGGTCTGTGTGCTGTACTAGGCTGCTGTACACTGCCAAGTCAGGTTGGCTAATACTGGCACTATGGGGGGACCTGGTGGAAGTCACTCAATTAAATTAAATTGTTGCCTGTGTTCCAGTCCCATACAATTATCAAGCCTGATTTCTTCATATTTGCTGGCTGACTGGGTTTGCGTGTGTTTGATGTGGTCATGCTAGACAACCTTGTTGAGACAGGGTGTCTGTAGAGAGGAGGTTACCAGAGTGATAATGAGGATGAACTCAGGAATGGCCCCTCTACCTTGTGTTCCCTTCAAGTCCGATCACCAGGACCATGTTCCTGTCGACCCTTCTCTACTTTGATCTACTAGTCAGCTTCAGAAAAGGCTGTCAGAATTTCACATCTGGACGTTGACTGCACCCAGTAGCCTAAAATACTTCTTTTCAGCTAAAATAGTTGCTTTAACAGTTCCAGGCTTATTTTGAAAGAAGTCAGAGTAGTTATTGTCTATGTTTATTAGCTCACCTGGCCCAAAGGTAGACAACTTCTTTGACTCTTTAGGATCATATGTATCCCTCAAGCTGGGTTGTTTTTGCAAAATAGAAGGGTCTTTTGGATTTAGTATTTCAACCTTTCATGATAAGAGATTATTCCATTGCAAATAATATTTGACAGCAGGTTCACCAGCACTGTCCCACTATCCAGCCATGTTAATCCATCCACTTCTAATCAGTTTGTCCTACTATCTAGCCTCATTAATCCAGCGTCCTCTGAGCTGGTGGTCCCACCATCCAGCCACCCCTGAGCTGGTGGTCCCACTATCCAGCCACCCCTGAGCTGGTGCTCCCAATATCCAGCCACCCCTGAGCTGGTGCTCCCACTATCCAGCCACCCCTGAGCTGGTGATCCCACTATCCAGCCACCCCTTGGGCTGGTGGTCCAACTATCCAGCCACCCCTGAGCTGATGGTCCAACTATCCTGCCACCCCTGAGCTGGTGCTCCCACTATCCAGCCCCCTCTGCTGATCTGGTTCTCCCACTATCCAGCCACCCCTTGGGCTGGTGCTCCCACTATCCAGCCACCCCTTGGGCTGGTGGTCCCACTATTCAGCCACCCCTGAGCTGGTGATCCCACTATCCAGTCACCACTAATCTGGTTGCCTTGTCCACTATCCAGTCACCACTAATCGGATTGTCTTGTCCACTTTCCAGTCACCACTAATCTGGTTGTCTTGTCCACTATCTAGTCACCACTAATCGGATTGTCTTGTCCACTAACCAGTCACCACTAATCGGATTGTCTTGTCCACTTTCCAGTCACCACTAATCTGGTTGCCTTGTCCCACTATCCAGTCACCACTAATCTGGTTGTATTGTCCACTATCCAGTCACCACCAATCTGGTTGTCTTGTCCACTATCCAGTCAACACTAATCGGATTGTCTTGTCCACTATCCAGTCACCTCTAAGCTGGTTGTCTTGTCCACTACCCAGTCACCACCAATCTGGTTGTCTTGTCCACTATCCAGTCACCACCAATTTGGTTGTCTTGTCCACTATCCAGTCACGACTAATCTGGTTGCCTTGTCCACTATCCAGCCACCACTAATCGGATTGTCTTGTCCACTATCCAGTCACCCCTAATCTGGTTGTCTTGTCCACTATCCAGCCACCACTAATATGGTTGTCCCACTATCCAGTCACCACTAATCTGGTTTTCTTGTCCACTATCCAGTCACCACTAATCGGGTTGTCTTGTCCACTATCCAGTCACCACTAATCTGGTTGCCTTGTCCACTTTCCAGTCACCACTAATCTGGTTGCCTTGTCCCACTATCCAGTCACCACTAATCTGGTTGTCTTGTCCACTATCCAGTCACCACTAATCGGATTGTCTTGTCCACTATCCAGTCACCACTAATCGGATTGTCTTGTCCACTTTCCAGTCACCACTAATCGGATTGTCCTATTCTCCAGCCAGTGCTTTAGGAGATAGAGTATTATACCTTTTGTGTATGAAATGACTTGACTGTCTCACTATCCAGCCACTATTGTCGGGAATAAAGACAACTGTATTAAGTATACTTCACTTTCTGAAATCCTAAATTATTAGATACAATAGAGATGTGATTAATCCAAATGTTGCAAAGATTAATTACTGATTTGGTTTTCTACTCGACAGACTGGAGATTTGTTACGACACAAAATCATACATCGCCCTGATCGACAGCTGCTGGTACAACAACATATACTAGAAGGTAAATAAAAACACCCCCAGTCTACATGGAGGGACAGTTTGGTGGATTGTAACTTAACCTTTGGCCCTGACCTTTGAGAAGTTCTTCATTCTTTATGTTTATTCATTGATCAGAACCAATATAAAGAATGATGGAGGTCAGAAGTTAAATGTAAGAGACTATCCACCCAACTGGTTTTGTTTTGAAGTGTTCTAACCAGATATGCAACTTAACAAGATAAAGGTCACCAAGGCAAAATGTCAAGGTGACCTTCAGTATTGAGTTCATTGACTCAAGGGTGCATGGAGTTGACCAAACCTACATTGAATGTTAAAAGATAGAAATCACATTCCGGTATTACCTCATATGGAGTCTGACCAGCAATATTTTAAGAAGTTCTTCTCCCTCCTCTTGTTACAATAATTTGGAAAATAGGATTCCCGGATCTGTCCCTGTGACCTAAAGACTCCTACGGTGTCACTGTACCTCCATCTCTACCGCCTGCTTCAATTACACAGTTTTTGGTGAAACAGAAAATTTGGACAGCAGGATTGAAAACATTTCAAAATGTAATTTTATTTTCTTAAATGAAAGAAAAATTTGATGAGGTGTTATGGCCAGCTCCATGTTACCAGAAACAGGGGATGTATAAAATGAAATAGAAGAAACTTACTCCCTAGCATTGATGACTAGCGTGTTTATTATGGTGATGTATACTATATGTTTGCTGTTACCCAATGGTATCAAGACCAATTCATAATTCTCTGTTCAGTATCCATATGCACCATTTCCTTTTTGCATAACATGTTCCTAACTTTTCATCTTGACTAATAATGCTATGCTATTTCACCTCTCAGTTTCTCCTCCTGCTAACCTGTCAGTCACACATAGGGGTAGCCATAGGTGGCCCATTGATTACTTGGGCACATGTTCTCCCTAATGGGGCACATTTAATTAGACAATAACAGATCTGATACCATTGGTGTAGTCTGTATTATTACCAAAAAAGAGCGGAAGTCTACAAATTAGGGGGATATCGAAAAAAGTCATCTTTTAACTTCTACAGCCTTTGCATTTACATAACGTGAATATCGGATGTTAAGTAAAAGGAAGTAGATGAAAGGTAAAAGAAGCAAACAAAAGAATTGTTCATGTAAAACACGTTATCATTAAATTCATGGCTGATATGTAGCAAATTTAAGAATAGAAAACAAAGGTATACTCATGCTGGATGATACTAAAGTATCTGGAGCACATAGTTTAAAACTAGAAGCAGGTGCCCTTCAAAGAAGAGTATATTTTTGTGGAAGTTTGCTGCTGTCTTTAATTTTGTTTTGGTGTGTGGTTATTAATGCCTAGCTGCCTGCTGCTCACCTTACTGTAAGTCTGAAGAAACAAGAGTTGTGTTTCAATTACTCTTTTTTTGAAAAGACAAAAAATGGGAATGAAAAAACAGCCGCAGTAACTAATATCCAAGGGTCTACCTTGTTCTTAAGGGAACCATAAAAAGTCTACCTAAATCTCAGTCAACTATTAGTCTACTTTGGATCAAGTACTACATATTCTATCTGTAATGTATACGATTAAAATAATAAATTATGGGCAGGGTTTTCGAAACAAACAAAAAACATTTTGACAAAGTAGCCTTTAAAACTAACCAGCCAATGTTACATTTTAAGTCAAGGCAAAAAGGCTTCTTAATGATTGTCAGGTAAGACTGAAATATAAGCTATTCAATTTCTACCATAGGTACTGATGACAATGTTGACACATAGGAAAATTTAGTATGAATTAATTGTTATCAGAGTGCTTCTTTTCTGATTTTCCCATAAGCTGTTGTTTGACTTCCCTTTAGTTTGTTAATAAGTTTTTAAGTTGTGGTTGTGTGGCTATAAGGTGTTTTGCATGTCTTATGGTTTTGTGCCTTTCAGATACAAAAATAGACCCTTCTCTGCATGAGCGACAACGTCTGTTGAAGCGTGCTCGACTTGCAGATGATCTCAATGAAAAACTCCTTCACAGGCCAGGCCCACTGGATCTTATACGAGGAAACATTCTAAAAACTGAAGATGATATGCTCACAGACGCTATCACAGGTAGCTTGCTCCCCCATTCCCCCACCCCACCCCATAAAGGTGTAGGTAGGTTATTGAGGGTTAAAGTACCGTTATAAATTGACACCATTGTCCAATAGAACAACACCTAACACATTGCTGAATGCATGTTACTTGCTGTATTGCCTTTATCCTCTCAGACTGAACACCCATGTTTTGGTATCTAATCAGTGAAACTCCTTGTTGTGTCACAGCAAATCCTGGTTTGTACAGAAATACCAGATATTTAACTGTTACAGATCTAGAGCTACACACTTCTGTTCTTTGTGCATGGCATGAATTGAGTTTAATTTTCCAAAATTCATCATATTATATTGAAACCTTTTTCAACACAGTTCAATACTTTGTAGGCATATTGTGAGACATTTTGATATCGTAAGCAGCTGTGTTATCAGAATGTTACACATTACATAACACATAGTCACAATAGTAGTACTAAACTATGGAATGAACATAAAACACCTCACCTGGTTCCAAACACTTACACCAGTGTTGTAAATCCTGTTTATAAAGGGGAGTTTACTACTTACATCAGTGATGTACCTCCTGTTTATAAAGGGGAGGTAACTACTTACACCAGTGATGTAAATCCAGTTTATAAAGGGGAGTTTACTACTTAAACCAGTGATGTAAATACTGTTTATAAAGGGGAGTTAACTCCTTCCATCAGTGATGTCCATCCTGTTTATAAAGGGGAATTTACTTCTTACACCAGTGATGTAAGTCCTGTTTATAAAGGGGAGTTAACTCCTTCCATCAGTGATGTCCATCCTGTTTATAAAGGGGAATTTACTTCTTACACCAGTGATGTAAGTCCTGTTTATAAAGGGGAGGTTACTACTTACATCAGTGATGTACCTCCTGTTTATAAAGGGGAGGTAACTACTTACATCAGTGATGTACCTCCTGTTTATAAAGGGGAGGTAACTACTTACATCAGTGATGAAAATCCTGTTTATAAAGTGGAGTTAACTACTTACATCAGTGATGTAAATCCTGTTTATAAAGGGGAGTTAACTACTTACATCAGTGTTGTACATCCTGTTTATAAAGGGGAGTTAACTACTTACACCAGTGATGTAAATCCTGTTTATAAAGGGAAGTTAACTACTTACACCAGTGATGTAAATCCTGTTTATAAAGGGGAGTTAACTACTTACACCAGTGATGTACATCCTGTTTATAAAGGGGAGTTAACTGTGACTAATTGATCAGCTATGATATATAAGAAGGCATTGACACTGTAAATGTGTGATATGTTACTCGCTCTAACTAGTTCTATTTACAATTTATTACATACAATTTACTATGGAACAGTGAAAGCTTTCATTAATCCGTTGAAGATTCAGCTTCGTACACTGATATTTATATGGCATGCTATTTGGCTATCTGATGCTAAAGTCATGTATATATAGTTCTTTCTGTAAAGCTTATTGATTATTATGCTTTCATTTATTTATTTATTTGAACACTATTTAAATAAAACTGCTTCAAAATAAAACAGTTGTAGGCATCAAAGTTTCAACACCTATGTTCTATTATTGATTTTAAATTTATCTTATTTTGATTTGATTTAAGGAAAACCGGTTTGTACTGTTATTAATTGAGAGTTCTGTGTCAATCTTCAGATGGAGTTGTGCAGTTACAAGTTCCAGACAACAAAGATCCCAACTCGTATCATTTTGTGTTTGATGATGACAGTAGTGAGGGAGCTCCGTCTCCATCCCACACCGAGGAGTCGGGGATGTCCGACATTGGGAGCCCTCCAGTGGTACCCCCAGCACCTGACCCACCACCGATTCAACTCAAAACACGTCAGACAACTATCGCAGCTCCCACGCTCACTAAGATGTCACCTCTAAATACTCAGTCCATCGCTGTTCTCAGCAATCCAATTACGACCTTCTCTGGTTCTCTTTCTTCATCTTCGTCGTCCAAGAATGGAAACTCCGGTAATGGTATAAATAAGGTCTCACGGCAAAAAAAGTCAAAACCAAAAACTTCTTCAAAGTCAAAAGTGATAAAATTTCATGAATACAAGGGACCGCCAAGTGCGTCTAAATCACAAGTGACATCACCAGTGACGGTGACAACAACTCCACAGAGTACCATAACTTCCACCCCACCCACCTCAGACACACAGTACCAGTTGATGCTTCAGCAGCAACAGATGTTCCTACAGTGGCAGTTGGAGTTCCAACAAAAAAGCCTCCCAGTTCCTGTCACCCTTCTACCACAACCAAAGTTGGAGTCAGGTACTGCCGTGTCACAAAGCATGGCAGGAAGTGTGGTCATGACCTCAGCTGTCAATAGCCCTCCCACATTTGTAAGTAGCCCAACCACAGTGGTACAGGCTCAAGGTGTGGTACCGGCCCAAGGTGTGGTACCGGCCCAAGGTGTGGTGCCAGCCCAAGGGCTGCTGCCTCCTCAGAATGTCGTACCTGCCCAAGGAATGTTGCCCACCCCGACAGTGGTGCCAGCACAAGGCCTGGTACCATCACAAGTTGCAACAACAGTAGTGTCAACATCTTTACTCCAGGGACAGCCTTCCAATGTTCCCCACACCAATACTGTGATAAAACATCAAATTCAACCCCAACCTGCTCAACTTCAAGCCATGTCGCAGCCTCCGGTTCAAAAAGTGCAACAGGTTCAAGTGCAAAGTGGACAATCTGTGGTGCAAAAACCTGTGTCACAAGTACGGACGCACACACACCCGGTATCTCAAAATCATCACTCCAAATCACAGAGCAAATCGAATCATGTTGTGCAGAAACCATTCTCTAACCTGGAGGACATGAAAGTAGCTGATCTTAAACTGGAACTAAAGAAAAGAAATTTGCCAGTGTCTGGCCCGAAGCCTCAGTTGATAGAAAGGTTAAAGCCTTATGTTGATGTGATTATTGGTGTGGCACAGGGAACCGTGAATACTAGTGTGGCAAATGATAACTCATTGTCTTTGGTGAAGAGACCCGTACCAACGATAGTCAGTGTTAAGTCAGTTCCTCTTACGCCGCTGGATGAGACTGTGTGTATGCAGTCTCCTCCCTGCTCCCCAAAGACAGAACAAGTCATTACATCTACTCCACTTTCACCAGAAATTATGGACATTGCTCAATCAGCACTTAATGCTCAGAATAAGGGCAGACCACTGACATTAAGTCAGTCATCCATTCCTATGGCAGTGGACAATTCTAGGCCTCCATCAGTAGCCCCTATGGACATAACAATGGATACAGATGCACCACTGGATATTCGCAGATACTCTCCTACAAATGTCAGTCAGACTGTCACCTCACCTGTGTCAGCAACTGTCACTTCACCCAAACCCCAATCTCAGCCCCAACTCCAAACACAGCCCCAACCCCAACCCTCGCCCCAACCCCAGCCTCAGTCAGTCAAAGCAAACTCTCCTCCTGGGGCTGCACCTCAGATCAGTAGTGAGATCCTGCTGCAACAACAGCGCCGGATAGCTCAGCTGCAAAAGGAGCTAGAAGAGTCACAGATGAGGCTGAAGCTGCAACAGATGCAACACCAACATCTGCAACAACAGCAGCGGCATTTACAACAACAGCAGACAACGCACCTCACACAACAGCCAGCCTCACCTCCTCAGCTATCCCAGCAGCCAAACTCTCCATCACAACAAGTGATACAGCAGATGGTTCAGCAACCGACCTCACCCCCTCAGTTTATGCAACCAAGCCCACAACCAACCCCTCCTCCTCAGATCCTACATGCCATGACCTCTCAACCCAACTCGCCCCCATTGATATTACAACAGCCTCTCTCACCCCCTCAGTCAATACAACAGCCTATCTCCCCTCCCCAGCTATTACAACAACCTATCTCCCCTCCCCAGCTATTACAACAGCCTATCTCCCCTCCCCAATTAATACACCAGCCCCTATCCCCACCACAGATGCTTACAACAGTGACTTTAGGCGATGGTAAGATCTCGCCTATACCTAACAGCATGGGAATGACCAAGCTGGTACAGATCCCTAGTCAGTCACTGCATTCTATGATTGGTAACCCACCCGTGCTGACAACAGCGCACGGTATCCAGCTTGCCCATCATGGCATTCCCACAGTTATGGTTGCCACTAGTGCTGCATCAGACAACAACAAACAAGGTGTCAAACCAAACCTCACAGATTTCTTTAAAACACAGGCCCTGCATCAGAGTCTCAACATAGTCAAACCTGGGAATCCTAGTTCTGGTGCCATGTTCAAACAGCCAACTTTTCTTGTGACCTCTGGTGCCAAGACAATAACATTGACTGCTCCACTCAACGGACTGGCCACCACTAGGTATGCTGTGAATGAAAGAGATGTAATATTTATCTCCATGTATTACTTCAGTGTGTCAGAATAAACTTTATTTGCTATTTAAAATGATAATCAGTTTGCTACGGGCATGGAGAAGATGCATAAAACAAATTACTTATAAGACTTAGTACCTAGAGCTTGAGGTAAAAACATGTTACCATGAAATTGTTCTTTTGAGATGAAATTTATGCATAATCTATTTGTATAAATTGAAATTTAACATAACTACCTTGCATGTTACAGAACGACCTCTCTACCATCTTCTCCTGTTGAGGGCAAAATGTCATTGGGGAGGACAATGTCCAATCCATTCTTTGTGCCACAGAAGGAACCTCCAAAGTATGATGATGCTATGAGGAGTAAACACCACTCACATCAGGTAAGGCTTGGGACAGGGGTCACAACAGGTAAGGCATGGGACAGGGGTCACAACAGGTAAGGCTTGGGACAGGGGTCACAACAGGTAAGGTTTGGGACAGGGGTCAAAACAGGTAAGGGGTCACAACAGGTAAGGCTTGGGACAGGGGTCACAACAGGTAAGGCTTGGGACAGGGGTCACAACAGGTAAGGCTTGGGACAGGGGTCACAACAGGTAAGGCTTGGGACAGGGGTCACAACAGGTAAGGCTTGGGACAGGGGTCACAACAGGTAAGGCTTGGGACAGGGGTCACAACAGGTAAGGCTTGGGACAGGGGTCACAACAGGTAAGGCTTGGGACAGGGGTCACAACAGGTAAGGCTTGGGACAGGGGTCACAACAGGTAAGGCTTGGGACAGGGGTCACAACAGGTAAGGCTTGGGACAGGGGTCACAACAGGTAAGGCTTGGGACAGGGGTCACAACAGGTAAGGCTTGGGACAGGGGTCACAACAGGTAAGGCTTGGGACAGGGGTCACAACAGGTAAGGCTTGGGACAGGGGTCACAACAGGTAAGGCTTGGGACAGGGGTCACAACAGGTAAGGCTTGGGACAGGGGTCACAACAGGTAAAGTTCCTGTGTTACAATATATAGGTTGATATTGAGGATAAAGTTTTATATGAGTACATGTGAGGTATTCCATGCTGCCCCTGACGTAGAGAAAGTGCACATAGATTTTTGTAAGCGCTTACTTAATGTTAGAAGGTGTACTCCAAACAATATGTTGTACTCTGAACTTGGTAGATTACCACTTTGTATAATACGGAAAATGAGAATAATTAAGTATTGGTTGAAATTACTTGAAACAGATAACTGTATTTTGAAAGCCTTGTATAATGATATGTTGTCTGAAGTAAATACAAAGGCCAACTGGCTTAGTAATGTGAAATCAATGTTAATGTCTCTAGGTTTTGGATATGTTTGGTATGATCAGAAAGTTGTATGTAAGAATCAATTTATATTGGACGTTAAACTACGTCTACGTGATGTTTTTATACAAAATATGAACAATTTTTTTGAAAACTCTACGAAATGTTTTTTATATAGATGTCTGCCCGAGGTTAATTGTCTTCAGTATTATCTTTGTAAATCTTTTCCTGAATCTTGTATTTTAACCATTGCGAAATTTAGATTATCTTCACACGACCTTCGTATAGAAAGGGGCAGATATGAGAGAATACCTCGTAATGAAAGACTTTGTTTAAAGTGTAATTTAGGCGATATAGAGGACGAATTGCATTTTATTCTTGTTTGTCCATTTTACAACGAAGTAAGAACACAATACATTGACAGATATTACAGAATTAGACCGTCTATGTTTAAATTAATTAATTTACTTTCTGTTAGAAGTAAGAGGAAATTGAATAATCTTTCCAAATTTTTAATTTCTGCTTCACAACTGAGATCAAATGAATAATTACATATATTGTCCATCCTCCATAATATGTCTGTATTGCTGTGTATCACTCACTCAATTTTGTAAAATGTATTGTAATGTTTATGCTGATTAGCCGAAAGGCTAAAGGCCAATAAACTAAACTAAACTAAACTAAACATATGCATAGATGTTATGTACCCAAGTTTGGTAGATTACGACTTACTCATATTATATTGGGCTAACAGGGTTGTAAATAGGGTAGACATGCTATATTGTGTGTAGTGAACAGAGCGAGCTGTAGCCAGGTACCCACACACCGATATGAGTGGAGAGAAGTATGGTAAAGCCCAAACACAGTATGTTAACCCCCAAAAATTAGGTACGAAGCTGGCGAGTATGCATGGTTAGCTGAGGACTGGCAAGCTACCCCAACCACCTAGCATACATATTTAGCTGGCAAGTATGGTAGCCAGAGAAAGATGTACATTAGCCAGATAGGACCATGATAGAACTGGTATAAAAAATAGCAGGAACTATTGTAGGAGGTTTAAAAACATTATCTGACAATGCTCATGTAAGAACAAGGTGCCTCATCTCACAGAATTCTTGTGCTATACCTGCCATCTCAGGGACATTGTAAGATCTGGGTAGCTTTCTGTAGGCACTTGTATACGCAGCCCAGCACTCCGATACATATCTTTAAACACAACGCTTTCTAGAAACCAATATTGAAAAAACTTAAAACATGATAAAACCTTTTCTCTATCTGTCAGACATATTTTTGGAAGGATTCCAGTTGGTTGAGGCTTGCAAACCTTCATAACATGCATTGTATAGAATCTATCTATGCAGAAAGTAAGTGTATATTTGACAGGTTAATTATGGTAAGGAACAGGTGCCCTTGAGATTTTCAATGTTTTTCTGTAACGTTATAAAACCAGACATCAATGTTTTGTTTTTTACTGATTGTCATTTTATGTGTCATGCATGTAACACTCCTGTGAATAATAGCTCTCTGTCGACAAGTGTGCTCACAGGTAGCTATGTACAACATCTTGTGTAATGGCTGTGACAGGGGCGTTTAGCAGCACGATACACGTGGTGTGGACTAGATTCTTACTCTATGTTTCATCAATAAGTGGATACCATTAATGATGCTTGGGTTTATAGAGAACGTCTAGCCAGCACATTATATTAATGAAGGCTAGCTATTTATACAACATTACCTATAATTTGAAGGTAGAGCAAACGCAAATGTGCAGATACTTTTCTTTAATAGATCAATGAGCTACCTTTGAAATAATGCAGCACATTTCCTGTATTGTTGTGATCTCTAACAAAGACGGCTTTCTTAGACAATGTAATGCAATGTTGTGCAAATGGCTGTTTATATCTCAGTGGATTTTGGTGTTGACTTCCTAAAAATCAAAACTACATAGAAAATATTATCTTGTTATTGTTAGATACCCATAAAATTCTATGTGTTCTAGCTTTCATTAGCTGTATATAAGGAAAATGCTAGCAGTTATCAAATTTAAACTTTTCCACTGTACGCTCTCTGCTGCCTGTCTGGTGGCAGTGACAATTACAATTGTATCTTTGATGGCTCCTATAATTCACTTGGTAAGAGTTAAAATTAGATTAATTTGTAGTTTCTAATTAATCAATATTCACAAAGAAAGAGGGTAGTTTCATAAGTTGTTCCCATGCCAACCAAGGTTTGTCATGTGAGATAGAAAAGTCAGTTAAAATTGAGTTTGTTTTGCAGATGGTAGTTAAACTATCTTACAGCTCGGTCAGAAATGCAGATCAAATTGAGTATCAAACTTTACAGTAAACCCAAATTTTTCCAGTTTTATGTAATAAACTTCAGTGTATGTTTCCTGCACTCAGCTTTTGAAAGACAATAACAAGGATCTCTTACATATTTTACAAAGACAATGTCGCTTAGAAATAAAACCAAAATCAATCTTGGTATGTCTCAATCTCAGCTGCCATAAAGACATTTCCTGGCATCTTATTGAAGCAAATGAAAAGTTCATTGTAGTTGTAATTAATTTTAACTCACTATCATACTGTTGTTGATTTCAGGGGTCTGGAGTTGTAGCGACAGAGCTCAGTAATGGTACAGTACCCAACAAAATTCCAGTGAAAAGTCAGGCCATGGACGATGTTCTGGAGATACTCATCAGGACTGGTGGTAGGTTTTTCATCACATGATTTAATTCATATAATTTCATGTTTTAAGAAAAAAAGTAATTACTTATCAGTCTTTTTCTTGTTATTCATGTTTTTAAACTTTCAAACCTTTTACATATTTAACTACATATGTACCATGAATTTAAAAAACTCAAATTGCCTGTGATGAATACTCACTATTTTTCTCTATAACTTTAAGAAGAGAAAACCTTAATCACATGTTAGAAAGCTTAATTCAACCTATATCTTAATACAATTTTTTTTCCATTTTTGAACAGAATTGCCACCAAGTGCTGCACAGGAGCCTCCTCCAACCCCAAAGACAACTGTACAGACGGCAACCATACCTACCAATGTGTTGCCAGCCAGTGTCGCCATGACAACCGCCACCGCCACCACTACCACCATGTCATACTCAGTAACCAGTCCAGAACAGTATACAGGGTTCTCCTCTACATTTACAGCAACATCTTCATTAGACTCTGCAGGAGATGACATCTCGGTGCTGCTCAATAGTCCACAGCAAGTGTCGTCTCTGTGTGTGAAACAGGAGAGTTTGACTCCACCCCCTTTAATGGTGAGCAACGTGATGTCACCAGACACAAGCACTCACGATCTACTGGATATTAATGACTATATGTTGAACCAAGATTTGAACTCGATGGATTGGACATCTGACCAAGCATTCACTCTAGACTTGAATGACACAACTTCAATGCAAATGCAGACAGACCAAGAAATGAAGTGTGATGGAGTCAATGATTTTTTAAATGTGCCATTGTTACAGGGCGGCAATAAAGGGGCACCCCACGGGTCTGAACCTGATCTCACGGGGCTGGGACTGACAGACGCAGACAACTGTGCTAACGTCCAGATGGATGTGTCTGACTGGCTGGATGTGATCATGCCCAGTACGGGACTGACCCCTCTCAGTGCTAACCCACCAGTGTCATTCCCCTCTGACCCCATCCTCACCCCCAAAACACAGCAGGAGGTGTTAGAATTGTTCAACTTTGATGATACAGACTTTAACACTCCAACAGATCTACACAGTGGTATCAACTGGGAAAAACTAACAGAAACAACAGGCTCTAGTTAGTAAGGAGACTCGGGACCTGCTCTAAATATTCAGGAGTGTCCGGGCTGGCTTTAGATAATAATTTGTGTCAAGAGCTGGCTCTAGATAGTAAGTACTGCCAAGATGGGATGTCTGGGGCTGGCAGGAGGTGAGGAATGTTGGAGCCAGCTCTAGATAGAAAGTTATGTCAGGGCTCCAGATATTGAGGAGAGTCTGCGACTGGACAAAATTCTACATGTTTATGTTATATGAAGCTCATATTGAAACAAAATTTCAACAATGAAATTTGAACAAGTTTTGAATGTGGTGCTTATAGCAAGTTTGGACCAAGACATTCAAGTGAGACAGGTGCAGAAATACATTTTTTAATCTTTTATATTGGAAAGGACAAGATGGGGAAAGATGTGTAACTTATAAATTGAAAACAAAGTGAGAAAAAAAACACTGCTTATAATCACAATATGGATTGATCAGTATTTTTCAAACATGTACAGATGTGTGAAAAAAGAACCCTTTTGATATACATACAAGTGGGACATTATGAGTATTATAAGCATTTTTTTTAAACCATGAAAAAAAAAAAAATTGCATATTGATAACTTAGCTATTTGCAGTGCTGGTATTGGTTTGTTGTCAGTGATATTGTATACTTTTTAAATTGCATCGTTTCCTGTTTTTGTGATTTAGATAATTTTGTGAGAAGAGACTTGTAGACTATACACTGTATATGTTCACCACTACTAGTAGCACTAACACCAAAACTTTCTGGTTGAATGTGTCCCCCATGTTAAAATTTTCTTCTCATTTATCATCAGCCTGGAAGTCGCAGAGGCTCTGTCATGTGTTGTGGGTCCATTCATATCGGAATGTTTAATTTGCATTGATTGTCTTCTCTGTGACTGAGCCACTGCGACTAGCAGATTCTTCAGAAAAACATGTGTATGTATTTGTTTTAATTTTTTGTTTCATTTTTCAACTCATTGCTGTGTTCGAATGCATTCCATCCCAAGAGAAAACATTTTCCTTATTTCTCCTAAATTAAATTATTTATTAATAACAAATCCTTATTTATTATTTAATTAAATCTTATCCGCAAAGTGGAGCTACCAGATGAGTATGTAATATTGGGGACCATTTTTCATGCCAACATGAACCAAGCAGTGTAAGCTTTTATTTCCTGGAGCCGACCTAGTTACCATGGCAGCCATTTTGATGAAAGCTATCACAAACATACCATCTCGTATCAGTAGCATACATGCCAGACATCATTAAATAGTCTCTTACTGTGCTTTTTATTAAAAAAAGTTTTAATAAAAAAATTGTTCATTGCCCTCTTTAAAATGATTTTCAAACAAATATATATTTATTTGAAGAAGTAATTTTAATTACAAAATGGCTGCCATATTACCAAGTGTGATTGGCTGCGACCAGACATGTCAAGGGCACAGTATCCAAGACCATATTTACATGAGAATTGCATGCATATGTATTTTTTATAAGTAGGAGAATGTGTAAACATTCATGCCTGGTTGAGATTTAGGATAGCTACTTCTGTTGGTGAGAGTGCGAATGATCTACGTTGTATTTATGTAGGCTCAGTGAATGAAACTATTAGGTTGACGAATCTCAAATAAAATTCATAGGTAAGCACTAGGTCTTAAGATTTTTCTCATACATTCCCCATTCCCTGGTACTGCCACTTTGCATCCATTACCATGGCAATTGTAACCACCTGCCAATCACAGGGCACATCATCACTTGTCTTAACTACACTCCAGGCAGGCTTCTTGCTCCACACAAATTTCACTGTGGCATAATTCTTCAGAGTAATTTTCATTTTACAATTCTAGAATAAGTATAAGTGTTGGAGATCAATGTTGAATAAGTATTTTATAAGTATAGGTATCATTATGTGTACCAGAGATGAATTTAGGTAATGTTTAAAGCTGAGTTTTGCTTGTTGCCCATCATATGTTGGTAATCTAGGCCCAACACCACACAATTGACTGACTCACTTATGAATTTCTCTTCAGTTCACTTTTTGAAGGACACTTTTTGGTGATCCCATTGCTAAAATATATACATGTATGTTTGATTAATGGAAACTATTTTTTTTTTTTTTTTTTTTTACATATATCACTATTTTTTTTCTTATTACAATATGAATGATAAAGTAAGACAGGTTGAACATTTCACACCCTGTGGTACAAACTGTATCGCCAGTACGGCGCTTCCATGATTTTCAAAGCCTAGGTGCGAGAGGTGTGTCAGTGGAGTGGTGTGGTGTTCGATTCTTAATAGTTACGAGGTACACAATTCTGCTGACCATATCAGCACATTCATTGAACAATCACACAGCACTTTTTAATATGTTTCCTTTTAATATAGGAAACTTTTACAGATTTCCTTGTAACAATAAACTTATGTATTAAAAATTTACCGTCTTTCCTTCCGAGATATCCAATTTGACGGTGAAGGTTTATTTTACCAAGTTGACAGCTGATATTATAGTGTTAGAAATAGAATTAGGTAACAAACATCAGTAAACTTTGATTGTGAATTAATTTGATTACATCTTGTTGTTCACATCACCAATACAATTTTACAGTTTTATGTTCGTATGAAATTGGGGCATTTGAGATTTTAAAGATAAATTTTTCGTTTGAAATCCAAAGATGATTGTGTATGTGTTATATATAGTTACTACTTGTGTAATATAGGTGTTTACTACATGGTATATACTCCTAGGCACGTACCCCTTTATATGTAATACAGGTTATTGTATATACTTGCTACATCACAGCCAGGTGATCATAGAACAAATAACAGTTCTTCAGTGAAGATCATGATGGTTTTCTTAGAGTCAGTCAGTTTGGTATAAAGTCAGTCAGTTCCAAGCTACAAAATGAGATTTGTTTGGTCTTTTTGATGGTCCATAGGTTTATTTTTGACCTTATGTCCTAAGATGATGTTTTTCTGTAAATTAGAAGGCTCTGAAGATTGTTTTCGCCCTACAAAAGATCCAGAGGTGGGGGTTTTAAAGTGGGTTTTTTTACCTTTGAAAGATCCTATGGATTATTTGGAACTAACAAGGTTTGTTTTGGACATTTAAAAAGCTCTGAAGTTTCTGTGAAGGTTCTGAGATTTCGTTTAGATCTTAAGTAGACCCTGAAATTTCTTTTAGTCTCTTACCAGGCTCTGAGGTCTGTTTTGGACTCTTTACCAGGCTCTGAGACTTATTTTAGACACTTTAAAGGCTCTAGACTTATTTTTGACACTTTGAAGGCTCTGAGGTTGTTTTTTTTTACCTGTAGACAGCTCTGATGTTTGTTTTGGATCTTAAGAAAGCTCAGACTTTAATTATGGAACTTCAAAAGGCTGAGATTTATTCTGGACACTGGACTTTTAGAAGGCTCAGATGTTTTTTATAGACCTAACGAATCCTTCAAGGTACATGTTGAAGTAATTTTATCTACTGTAAAATCTTTTTCTTTCACATGTTAGCGGGTGTTCACATGTTAGCAGTGTTTACATGTTAGCAGGTGTTCACATGTTAGCAGTGTTCACATGTTAGCAGGTGTTCACATGTTATCAGTGTTCACATGTTAGCTGGTGTTCACATGTTAGCAGTGTTCACATGCTAGCAGGTGTTTACATGTTAGCAGTGTTCACATGTTAGCAGGTATTCACATGTTAGCAGGTGTTCACATGTTCACATGTTAGCAGGTAATTACATGTTAGCAGTGTTCACATGTTAGCAGGTGTTCACATGTTCACATATTAGCAGGTGTTTACATGTTAGCAGTGTTCACAGGTTAACATGTTAGCAGTGTTCACAGGTTCACATGTTAGCAGGTGTCTACATGTTAGCAGTGTTCACATGTTAGCAGGTATTCACATGTTAGCAGGTGTTAACATGTTCACATGTTAGCAGGTAATTACATGTTAGCAGTGTTCACATGTTAGCAGGTTTTTAAATGTTAGCAGGTGTTCACATGTTAGCAGGTGTTTACATGTTAGCAGGTGTTCACATGTTCACATGTTAGCAGGCGTTTACATGTTAGCAGTGTTCACAGGTTCACATGTTAGCAGGTGTTTCCATGTTAGCAGTGTTCACATGTTAGCAGGTGTTTACATGTTAGCTGTGTTCACAGGTTCACATGTTAGCAGGTGTTTACATGTTAGCAGGGGTCACAGGGTCACATGTTAGCAGGTGTTTACATGTTAGCAGGGGTCACAGGGTCACATGTTAGCAGGTGTTTACATGTTAGCAGGGTTCACAGGTTCACATGTTAGCAGTGTTCACAGGTTCACATGTTAGCAGGTGTTCACATGGTCACATGTTAGCAGGTGAAATAAAAGAAAATTTAGCTGGTTAAGTTTATTGTTAACACCATTTTATCAATACCTACTAAAGGGAATTTTAAACCAAGTGAATTTATGTTTTAAAGTTTGAAAAGAAAGCTTTTCTACTAGTAACTATGAGACACACGGAGTTCCATACAGGTGTTAGCTACAGTGCTTTAGACACTGTGATCAGCTAGCCTTGTATCAAATTTGTTAGCCATTCACATGAGTTTAAATATGCAAAATATTTGACTCCCTTTATTTAAAATTACTTGATTTTTTTTACTCTTAAGTGGAGATTATTGTCTTTCAAAATTGCGTGATATTTGGATATTTTTGTAAAATAGTTGGAGAAATTGATAGTACTCACTGAAACACCAAAGAAACCAATACTAGATTGTAATAGTATGAGGATAGAGGATTCTTGCCAATTTTTGTTAGTGATTGGAAAACAATGATGTTCATCTGTTTCTTGTTAAAAAAAACATAGGTTTGTAAAGGAGTGAAATAGTTAAATTTTGTGTATAAATGTACAAAGTAGTTAATTGAGTTAAATGAATCTAAAAATGCACAGTGATGCTTTTTCTTGACTTACCTTTACCTGTAAATCTATGACCTTCCTCGCTATGTGTATAACTACTTCTGTGTAATCTCAAAGCTAGGCATCTTTATGCTAATGTAGCGTCCAGCAAAATCTTCTATATTGCATGTTTTATGAGGATTAAATAATCTTACTCAGGGAGGCTGTTTAAATGAATTTGATGTACAGTATCCACTTTATTTAAAAAAAATATATAGTGAAGACTCTAAACGAATGTTAGATTTTAAAGATGGTAAAAGTAAGAAAATAATTTTGAAATAAGTTTGGGTAAGGGAAAATTAAGGTTAATTATTTATCAAGTACTATGTTAGCAGGTAGATATATGCACATGTAAACACTGGAATAATGTTGCATAACGGCTGGAGATGTTGATTAAAACTCTGGTTAAGGTTTTATCTGGCCTGTAACCTGTGATGTCCATTGTTTATACCCTGTATCAATACTGGGGTAGCAGGAAGGTCATATACTCTTATATCTAGTCACACTGACCAAATCCTATGTTTTCTTTTTAAGTGACCACTGGTCAACTCTGCTCTGTTTGCTCACATATTGTTAAGAGGATGTGACCATTTAGCTGTTTTTACAATATGTTGTATGTGCCTTATAAGCATCTGTTGCATTGGACATATCTGTTGTAGTTTGTGATTTCGTTATTTTGTTCATTGATTTCATTGTTAATTAAATATGTACCTTTTTGAGAAAGCAAACGAGCTGAAATGTATGAAATTCCCTGAAGGACAAACAATGTTTTTCTTTCTATATATGTTTTCATTTTTCGTCACTTCACTAATGACTTGCTGATTACCACAACCCAGCCATATATGTACATGTATTTAACAAGTGCATATCACTTGTGTAGATATAATGACACAAACATAAACAGCTTGTAACATATAAACTAGGAGCTCAATATTGGCTTGGCCTTGGTTTCTCGATCAGGTACATACACATTTATGAAATATGTCACATGTCTGTCATGTGACCGTGAGAGTATAGTGATTACAGAAGTATTTATTGTTTACGTTTTTCTCTCCATATATTTGTGGTCATATCATTGGTACTTGATTGGTTTGTACTACGTCACAGACATTTCTATTCCCCCATGTGCATGCACTGTGTCTTATATATAAGCTGTATGGTTGAATATATTTTCTTATGAAAAGTAATATATTATTTGAGACAATGATTGTGGTAGAAGTAGATGTATATTGTTGTGTAATCCTATGTTACACACAGTTCTATATAAAACCACCAAATCATACAAATTTGCAGTGTGCTTCAGCTATTTCTTGCTGTTTTTCTCCCCCCTATATTACGACCCTTTACCTGTGTGAGCCAACATACTCCGTTTGGTTAGTCTGTCTGATAGTGCTGGGCAGTACTCGTTTATAAAATCTCTCTTATAACATTAATTAAGAGTATATATATATATAACTGTTGAATCCTAAAAACACCCTATACATGAGACATATATACTTAACAGAATGTGATAACAGGCTTATAAAATTCTATTGCCCTCATACCATGTTTGTGCAAATATTTATTTTTTTCCTACATGGCTAAACAGTTACTGTTCAGGATAAAAAAGGTACAGTTTGTTCTAATGTGCTATACCTACCCTGTATAGCTAATGTGCTATACCTACCCTGTATAGCTCATGTGCTATACCTACCCCGTGTAGCTAATGTGCTATACCTACCCTGTATAGCTCATGTGCTATACCTACCCCGTGTAGCTAATGTGCTATACCTACCCTGTATAGCTCATGTGCTATACCTACCCCGTGTAGCTAATGTGCTATACCTACCCTGTATAGCTCATGTGCTATACCTACCCCGTGTAGCTCATGTGCTATACCTACCCTGTATAGCTAGTGTGCTATACCTACCCTGTATAGCTAGTGTGCTATACCTACCCTGTATAGCTAATGTGCTATACCTACCCCGTGTAGCTAATATGCTATACCTACCCTGTATAGCTCATGTGCTATACTTACCCCGTGAAGCTAATGTGCTATACCTACCCTGTATAGCTCATGCGGTATACCTACCCGTGTAGCTAATGTGCTATACCTACCCTGTATAACTCATGTGCTATTATACCTACCCCGTGTAGCTAATGGCTACTATATAATACATCTCTTAATATAATTATCTGGCAATGCTGGAATCGCCCACAGTCACATACGTTTTTTTTATTTTATCTGATTTTTCCTAATCTCTAGAACAACTTCAATTACTTGTTTGTTTCCCTTTTAAAGTCAAATACATTCTGTAATGAAGACAAATTTTTGAGTCTTAAATTTGTTCATTTATCCTGATTCTATTTAGAAAGAACAAGTTCTATTTTGATCATTAGCTGTCCTTAAAATTACCAATACATGGTAGGGAAATAAACTGATCATAGGACACCATGTATGCTAGGTTAGGTTTTCACACACATAGACTGGTGGGGAGGAGGGAATCCCTTACTCAGTCTGGGCCCCTCACTTGTACAATATTATGTGTCATATGACATTCCACAAATCATTTATCTACTTTTTCATTTCAGAAAATCATTTCTATATAGACTAACCTGTGTTCTAACAGAATATCCTTGGCTGTAACCTCTTACAGTTCTGTTTGTAAAACAATCTTGCTTCCTGATTGTTAATAAATATTACTTTTAGATACAGAAATACAAATGTCTCAAGACTTTTCTGTATCATTATTTTTCTGCTTTTTGTCAATAACATGTGCCAAATGTTACTGTTACACTGTTTTGTATGTTAATATCAAGAACATTGAACACATGTTTGAGATTACTGCTATGGATAGTTGCTGATAGGGAGATATAAGCAGCATATCTTAAAGGCATTGTTTCTGGGCCTGCTTTTTAACTGATACATAAGCAACTTTAATATCAGAGAAAAAATCATCTTTTAAATCTTTTTCTGAATCAGATTTATAAATGATGATGATTAGGAAAGGTTATTTCCCTTTCAAGTGAAATCTTTAAGGTAGCATTTGTAGATACATGTAGTAGATAGAATTAAAATACAGTTGACTGAATTACAAACCACCTATATAATGATGTTCAGGTATCTCACCAAGGAAATAGGCTGTATGTTACACGATCAATGCACATCAAATTCTGAACATAATGTATACATCAGGTAATCACAGTATTAGTATAAGTCTGTATTTACTGTGTATGAACCAGACATTGTTGGTATCGTTTACTCTGGCCGTACCAGTTATTATTGATATACTAGACATTACTAGAAAATGTTGATTGCTGTATATCTTAGACAGGTGTGATGTTAGGAAATGGATAGCTGTTATTTGTTATAATTATTTGAAAGTAAGGGTTTAGGGTGTGATGTGCATTTATTGGAAATATACAGAACAGTTCTAGTTTGAGAACCATACATCGGGGTCTACTATACTAAACATTAAACAGGTCTAATGTTATGATCGCATTTGGAGTATAAAGGTAAACCTATGAATTAATATCACCTACATATGAAATCACTGTGAGACCATGTACAGTATAAGTAGTCAACCGTTTCATGTACATGCTGATTAGTTATGACACAATGATTTATGATTCCAGTGTTTGATATGGTATTGTGTTGTCTCTTGATGATCATCTCACAACAATGTAACACCTATTTGTACACTCAGTGATGCTGTCCTACAACATATCAGTCATTTCTTTATGCATAATACGATTATCACGTTTCATTTTAACAGCAGGTAGGGAACATATGGAATCTCGCCTCACAGCTGAAATATCAAACACAAATTCATGTATTTTTACTCCAAAAATTAATATAGATATCAAATTTTATCATTTTTTCTTGTAACCCGACCAATACTGTATCCCAGCCACTTTATGCCCCAGGCTTGGCCCTCTGCTGCCCTAGTCTGTGTGGCCTACAGCCCCAGCAGGTCTTCTGTATATATACATTGACAGCTCTGTACATGCTTGATACCACATGGATCATTAGACCCAACTAATAAAGGAGAGCTTGATGTTACTCTTATTTCTTGTTTCTTTGTTGTTTATTGGTTATCACTGGTATGATGAATCTCCCCTGGATCAATACAGTGGAATCTTGAGAGTACAGAAACTCTCCATTTAAACTCATGCATGGAAGCTGATTTCAGCCCAAAGGCATCATCAGCAATGCTGGGTCCACCATAGCTGTTTCTATAAAAAAAACATTCCTAAACTTCAATATGTATACAATTTTTACCATTAATTGTAATTATGTGGTTCCACTGTATAGGACAACACTAGGAAAGAGAAAACAGTTTGAAACATGACCATGTGAAAACGATAGTGGGGGTTTCTCCAATCCTGGGGTGCCTTGGTTATCAAATATGTTGATCATTGGCAAATCTACTGTCTAATTGTTACCTAGGGTGTTAACTAACCTACCCCAAAGGACAGTGAGTTTATGCCGTGCAGCAGCGTCTATCATCTATCTGTTCGTTTTCAGCTTTCCTTTAAAATGCTACTATTCCAAAACGGCTGAAGGAAATTTAAGTTAATACGTTTTGCCAAGGGGATTCAACATTGTATAAACGGAGGATGTGGCACCCGGAGAAAGAAGGCAGGGACCAGTAGGAGAGATATAAGTACAATGTAAATCTTTCAAAATCCTACCCATTGCAAACTGGTAAATGGATTTTTACTTGAGTCGGTCTTGAACAATCCTTTGACCATGGGAGCAGATAGGCGGGACTCTGCTATGGAAATATATCGTGACTTTTGTTGTTCTGTTATTTAGTTCTGACCTATTATATACCATATGCTGATCTTGTATTACATACATGTACATGTGTGACACCTGAGTTAAATATATGAAACACTGTTTTTCTCAAAAAATGCATTGAAAGCATGGCTCCTTCTTGCCTCCGCGGCAATTGTGTTGGCTTCCGGTTTAACTTCGGTACCGGTCGACCATGGCCACCCAGTAAAGGTGTATACTGAAGAGATGGAGAGATCCCTACACAATGCTACACTGTTGTGTTCCTGGTAATATTTACACGGTTTCAATGATCAACGACTCAAAGTGATGGATTCATTGCTATTATGTAAAAGCGTTCCAACTGGAACCGTATTTTAACAACTACATGTAACAACGTCATCATGATTAAATACACAACTGTGTGATGGTATTAGATAATTGTAGAGGTAGTTGGACTAGAGAAAGCTCCCCACAGCTTTGTGCAAGTTTCTAGGAAGGTACAAGTACTCTTTGTTTGCAAGGTCAAGGTCGCAGTGTTGATTCATTAGTGGCTGACGCTTACAATTATGGAGGAGCGGTCTGAATTGTCGGAAAGAATGTCCTAGATGCTATCTACCACTGTGTAAAACGTCTCGGAGTTTTTACGTCTGTAATTGTCAGCTAATAATGGTACAGCGCTGAAATGTAACCGAGGGAAATATCCACCTCACCGATGGAGAGAGAACATCCCCCATCACAAAGGCGATAATACTTGATAGTGGTTGTAGTTTTCTGTTTAATAAATGGTGTAAATAATCGTCCTACAGGCGTTATGGTAAAATCACCTCCAAAAACCTATTGAACTTAGTGCACTAAACGTAAAAGCTCATGCACCGGTCCATGTGGGTCTATCTGGCATTGTCGATAAGATCTACACGTCGGCATAATGTTACGTGAGAAACGATGTATGTATTCCAGCGTCTTTTTGTCCAATCTTTGGGAGAACGTTTTTTATAAGTTTGTCTATTTGTCAATTCAGGAAGATGCATTGTTTTTAACCAAAAGTTGAAAAAACAAGCAAATTCGTGGAATTTGTATCCCCCGCTTGCAGGAAAATATTGTAGGTTAACATTATTGAGGTTAGGTTTAAACATGCAAGTATCGCGCTGTTGAGACATAATGTATATCTTGAAACTTGAAGAGAAAAAAAGCCCTATACCTCATTGATTATCCGTAAATATGCACAAATCACATTGGTAGGCAAACTTAGCACGAGACGGATGTGCTTACGGAATTTGGTTGAAACATCTGAACAATATCTACAGCATTTATCACACGAAAACCAAAGAGTGCCCGATAAAGGGTGGAAAGACAGAGAAACACAAAAATAGTTATCAAGTTTGAAGGAATTTGGCTAATATTTGCTAGAGTTGTAAAACGGAAACTGCAAATAATGACGTTTTCGTTAATCAAGGGGCCATTACTCTGCCAAATGCAGTCCGATTAAAGTGGTTGTCAAATTTGGCCGAGCCCTTAATGCATTGAACCCTGTTACTAAGTTTGGGGACATTCGCATAATATTTGCGAGAGTTAATGAACAGAAACGGCAGATAATGACGTTTTTCATTATTCAAGAGGTCATAACTCCGCCAAGTGGGGTCCGCTGAAAGTGGTCATCGAAATTGGACGAGCCCTTAAGGCATTTAACCCTGTGACCAAGTTTGAAGAAAATCGGTTAACATTTGTTGTAGTTATTGCACGGAAATGACGCGTGACAGACAGACAGACAGACAAACCCAACTTAATATCCCCCGTTTCGGTGATAGTGGGGGATAAAAAGTAAAAACAATGTATCTGACTAAATGTACGATTTCCTCTCTGCCAGGAGGACGACCATAGAATCTTAGCAACACAGTCGGTTGTAGGATAGGTAGGATCGATCCTAGCAACACAGTCGGTTGTAGGATAGGTAGGATCGATCCAAGCAACACAGTCGGTTGTAGGATAGGTAGGATCGACCCTAGCAACACAGTCGGTTGTAGGATAGGTAGGACCGATCCTAGCAACACAGTCGGTTATAGGATAGGTAGGATCGATCCCAGCAACACAGTCGGTTGTAGGATATGTAGAATCGATCCTAACAACACAGTCGGTTGTAGGATAGGTGGAATAGATTCCAGCAACACAGTCGGTTGTAGGATAGGTAGGATCGATCCTAGCAACACAGTCGGTTGTAGGATTTTATATCCAAGTGTATAATGACCTCAACACCAAATAGTGGTGGATTGACGTTCGTTTGGAGGTAACGAGAATCACACCTATTCCAGCCGTATAGTGAGCCTGACTGAGCCTGGCCTTCAAAGATCAGAAGAAACAAGGATTTATACAAAAGGTCGATGACTCTTGATAACAGGAAGAACATCACACTACATTTATCACCATCCAGTAACACCATCAGTCCGCCCGAAGAATCCCAACAAGGCAGGGGGGGATTTAGCTGCTGAAATCAAATCAGTCCTTACCACAGAAGTCCCGGGACACGTGGATTCATGTCGACATCGGAAGCTTCTACGATGCATATGTTTACTGATGCTAGACGAACAGATTCTGGAGCAAGTGTATTTTGGAGAACATCGGTTGTACCGCATTGACAATCGGTAAGAGCAGAGTTAAAGCAACAACATAACTGAAACTAGAACTTGTGGTTCGGGAGAATAACTTGCCGAACTGATCATGGGTAGCGTAAACATCCGTTACGTTGTGTGGTGGCCAAATACTCAGTTGAATTTCGTAGATAAACTTAAACAGTTCGTAGCAAAACGAGTAAATGAGATCACGGATGACCTTTGAGATATTGCACAATGGAAAGTAATCGCGCTAATTATTTGACATGCAGTATTCATGCAAAGCAATTACCGGGAAGCACGTGCTCTTTGGTGGAGTGGACCCGTACGAATCTGTGATCAGATGGCCTGTTTGACAAAGAGATACCCATTATAATATATTTGCTTTCAGTAATGATGAGTAAGGAGAGAATCAAATGATGCTGATGACAACTTACCTGTGCTTCAGAGAACTTTTACCGAGGGGTCAACATTGGATCGGATATTATGTATTTTTAGAAAAGACAGCTCCCTTCAGACAAATGAAATTCGAATTGCAAAACGCACGTGATTGACTCGAAGTATTCGTATTTGTTACAAAGCATCACGTGACCTCACTTTTGGTATTGGACACACTCGCCCCAGATAAGTTGAGTTCGATTTGCGTTTGAGATGAAGAATGACTCGACTGTTCTATTACACTTTCGTTAATTGACCTTTCTTAGATAATGACGTCACTGTATAAAACAATGACGCTAAAATAAAACAATGATAATAGTAATGTGCTAATATAACGTGAATGTTCACATTTTTGGTCATCTGAATTGTTATCTGTGTCATTAATATTACCATTTTCATCATGGACAGCTCACATCAGATATATATAAAAAAGACAGCACTATGGGCACACGAGAAGAGGGATGAGTAACAAAGTCCGTGTAGATTTTAACTATGTGGCAATAAGATAGTAAACAACGCTAGATCCTTTATAAGTTGGGTTACCTTTGTTGTTTTCATGACTAGCATGCTGTTTACAATAAGATAAAAAATAATTACTAAGCCCAAGTAGTGTAATTATCTCAAGTTTACACGAACTGTGTTATTTATTAAACATCCTTACATGTTACGGGTATTATACTACAGCAATGTGACTTCTCAGATCTCACGTAAACAATAAACTCCCGATTTTCTGTGTGTAAATGTGAATCGTTAAAACATGGTAACCTAGAAGTTCGATAATATCCACAATAGCAGGACATTCCCTACCAAACCACATGCAATTTACTAAATATACTTGATGTTAGTCGATATTTATATTCATATTTATTTGTGGTTGATTTTGACAAAAAAAGAAGGGATGATGATTATTATAGTAATGAGCATAGATTCCCAAAACGATTCCTCTCTGTTTGTCCTGGTGTTCCATCTCACCATGTATACTTCTGTTTGTCCTGGTGTTCCATCCCACCATATGTACTTGTGTTTGCCTGGTATTCCATCTCACCATGTATACTTTTGTTTATCCTGGTGTGCCATCTCATCATGTATACTTATGTTTGTCCTGGTGTTCCATCCCACCATGTATGCTTCTGTTTGTCCTGGTGTGCCATCTCACAATTTCTACTTCAGTTTGTCTTGGTGTGCCATCTCACCATGTATACTTTTGTTTACCCTGGTGTGCCATCTCACCATGTATACATCTGTTTGTCCTGGTGTACAATCTCACCATGTATACATCTGTTTGTCCGGGTGTTCCATCTCACGATGTATACTTCTGTTTGACCTGGTGTTGCATCTCACCATGTATAATTCTGTTTGACCTGGTGTTCCATCTCACCATGTATACTTCTGTTTGTCCTGGTGATCCATCTCACCATGTATACTTCTGTTTGACCTGGTGTTCCATCTCACCATGTATACATCTGTTTGTCCTGGTGTTCCATCTCTAAATGTATACTTCTGTTTGTCCTGGTGTTCCATCTCCCCATGTATACTTCTGTTTGTCCTGGTGTTCCATCTCACAATGTATACTTCTGTTTTTCATGGTGTTCCATCTCACCATGTATACGTCTGTTTGTCCTCCTGGTGTGCCATCTCACCATGTATACGTCTGTTTGTCCTGGTGTGCCATCTCATCATGTATACTTATATTTGTCCTGGTGTTCCATCTCACCATGTATACTTCTGTTTGTCATGGTGTGCCATCTCACCTCGCATAATTCTATTCGTCCTGGTGTTCCATCTCACAATGTATACTTCTGTTTGTCTTGGTGTTTCATGTCAGCATGTATACTTCTATTTGTCCTGGTGTGCCATCTCACAATTTATACTTCTGATTGTCCTGGTGTTCCATCTCACAATGTATACTTGTGTTTGTCCTGGTATACCATCACACCATGTATACTTGTGTTTGTCCTGGTGTTCCATCTCACCATGTATACTTGTGTTTGTCCTGGTGTGTCATCTCACCATGTATAAGTCTGTTTGTCCTGGTGTTCCATCTCACCGTGTATACTCATGTTTGTCCTGGTGTGCCATCTCACAATTTATACTTCAGTTTGTCTTGGTGTGCCATCTCACAATGTATACTTCTGTTTGTCCTGGTGTTCCATCTCACAATGTATACTTGTGTTTGTCCTGGTGTTCCATCTCACCATGTATACGTCTGTTTGTCCTGGTGTGCCATCTCATCATGTGTACTTATATTTTGCCTGGTGTTCCATCTCACCATGTATACTTCTGTTTGTCCTGGTGTGCCATCTCACCATGCATAATTCTATTCGTCCTGGTATTCCATCTCACAATGTATACTTCTGTTTGTCTTGGTGTTTCATGTCATCATGTATACTTCTATTTGTCCTTGTGTTTCATCTCACCATGTATAATTCTGTTTGACCTGGTGTTCCATCTCACAATGTTTAATTCTGTATTTCCTGGTGTGCCATCTGACCATGTATACTTCTGTTTGTCCCTGGTGTGCCATCTGACCATGTATACGTCTGTTTGTCCCTGGTGTTCCATCTCACCATGTATACTTCTGTTTGTCCTGGTGTGCCATCTCACCATGCATAATTATATTTGTCCTGGTGTTCCATCTCACCATGTATAATTCAGTTTGTCCTGGTGTTCCATCTCACCATGTATACCTCTGTTGATCCTGGTGTTCCATCTCACCATGTATGCTTAACCGTTTACCACATATCTCGGTTGCACTTTCGTTGGACCTCCTGTGTCGCCTTGGTCCATTTCTTTATTTCATATAAATTGACCTTGTTTCATTTGTCCTGTTCTCTGATTTGCAGAGACACTTTGCTTCTTCCTTTCAGTTTCCGTTACTCTGTTTTTATAAAACTTCAAATGTCAAAAGTTTTAACCTTTCTTTGTTATTTTCTTTTGAATAATGCCCTCATGGTCCGCAACAGCCACTGTAATACCTTAGGTTAACTCAAAATCCAAATTGGATACCTTGTATTATGATTGGCTTAGCCGTGTTTGATTTTTTTCTCAATTTCACTGTATCAATTTAACCACGACACTCAAAGGTTTTCTAAGCCAAATCAGAGCTGTTTTATCAACAGCGAGGGGATCACTTACTTTATTAAGGATGGAAACATAAAACAAGGCCAAAAAGTCGTGTGGCTCGGTATGACTGCCATAGTGTCAGTAAGTCGTGTGGCTCGGTATGACGGCCATAGTGTCAGTAAGTCGTGTGGCTCGGTATGACGGCCATATTGTCAGTAAGTCCTGTGGATCGGTTTGACGGCCAAAGTGTTAGTAAGTTGCGTGGCTCGGTATGACGGCTATATTGTCAGTAAGTTGTGTGGCTTGGTATGACGGCCATATTGTCAGTAAGTCCTGTGGATCGGTTTGACGGCCAAAGTGTTAGTAAGTTGCGTGGCTCGGTATGACGGCTATATTGTCAGTTAGTCGTGTGGCTCGGTATGACGGCCATATTGTCAGTAAGTCCTATGGATCGGTATGACGGCCATATTGTCAGTAAGTCGTGTGGCTCGGTATGACGGCCATAGTGTCAGTAAGTCGTGTGGCTCGGTATGACGTCCATAGTGTCAGTAAGTCGTGTGGCTCGGTATGGCGGCCATAGTGTCAGTAAGTCGTGTGGCTCGGTATGACGTCCATAGTGTCAGTAAGTCGTGTGGCTCGGTATGACGTCCATAGTGTCAGTAAGTCGTGTGGCTCGGTATGACGTCCATAGTGTCAGTAAGTCGTGTGGCTCGGTATGACGTCCATAGTGTCAGTAAGTCGTGTGGCTCGGTATGACGTCCATAGTGTCAGTAAGTCGTGTGGCTCGGTATGACGGCCATATTGTCAGTAAGTCGTTTGGCTTGGTATATCGGCCATATTGTCAGTAAGTTGTGTGGCTCGGTATGACGGCCATATTGTCAGTAAGTCGTTTGGCTTGGTATATCGGCCATATTGTCAGTAAGTTGTGTGGCTCGGTATGACGGCCATATTGTCAGTAAGTTGTGTGGCTCGATATGACGGCCGTATTGTCAGTAAGTTGTGTGGCTCGGTATGACGGCCGTATTATCAGTAAGTTGTGTGGCTCGGTATGACGGCCATAGTGTCATTAAGTCGTGTGGCTCGGTATGACGGCCATAGTGTCAGTAAGTCATGTGGCTCGGTATGACGGCCGTATTGTCAGTAAGTCGTGTGGCTCGGTATGACGGCCATAGTGTCAGTAAGTTGTGTGGCTCGGTATGTCGGCCATATTGTCAGTAAGTCGTGTGGCTCGGTTTGATGGCCAAAGTGTCAGTAAGTTGTGTGGCTCGGTATGACGACCATATTGTCAGTAAGTTGTGTGGCTCGGTATGACGGCCGTATTATCAGTAAGTTGTGTGGCTCGGTATGACGGCCATAGTGTCAGTAAGTTGTGTGGCTCGGTATGTCGGCCATATTGTCAGTAAGTCGTTTGGCTTGGTATATCGGCCATAGTGTCAGTAAGTTGTGTGGCTCGGTATGACTGCCATAGTGTCAGTAAGTCGTGTGGCTCGGTATGACGGCCATAGTGTCAGTAAGTTGTGTGGCTCGGTATGACGGCCGTATTGTCAGTAAGTCATGTGGCTCGGGATGACGGCCGTATTGTCAGTAAGTTGTGTGGCTCGGTATGACGGTCATATTGTCAGTAAGTCATGTGGCTCGGTATGACGGCCGTATTGTCAGTAAGTCATGTGGCTCGGTATGACGGCCGTATTGTCAGTAAGTCATGTGGCTCGGTATGACGGCAGTATTGTCAGTAAGTTGTGTGGCTCGGTATGACGGCCATATTGTCATTAAGTCGTGTGGCTCGGTCTGACGGCCATATTGTCATTAAGTCGTGTGGCTCGGTCTGACGGCCATATTGTCATTAAGTCGTGTGGCTCGGTCTGACGGCCATATTGACATTAAGTCGTGTGGCTCGGTATGACGGCCATAGTGTCAGTAAGTCATGTGGCTCGGGATGACGGCCGTATTGTCAGTAAGTTGTGTGGCTCGGTATGACGGCCGTATTGTCAGTAAGTCATGTGGCTCGGTATGACGGCCGTATTGTCAGTAAGTCATGTGGCTCGGTATGACGGCAGTATTGTCAGTAAGTTGTGTGGCTCGGTATGACGGCCGTATTATCAGTAAGTTGTGTGGCTCGGTATGACGGCCATAGTGTCAGTAAGTCATGTGGCTCGGTATGACGGCCGTATTGTCAGTAAGTCATGTGGCTCGGTATGACGGCAGTATTGTCAGTAAGTTGTGTGGCTCGGTATGACGGCCGTATTGTCAGTAAGTCATGTGGCTCGGTATGACGGCCGTATTGTCAGTAAGTCATGTGGCTCGGTATGACGGCCGTATTGTCAGTAAGTCCTGTGGATCGGTATGACGGCCTTGGTGTCAGTAAGTTGTGTGGCTCGGTATGACGGCCATATTGTCATTAAGTCGTGTGGCTCGGTCTGACGGCCATATTGACATTAAGTCGTGTGGCTCGGTATGACGGCCATAGTGTCAGTAAGTCGTGTGGCTCGGTTTGATGGCCAAAGTGTCAGTAAGTTGTGTGGCTCGGTATGACGGCCGTATTGTCAGTAAGTCGTGTGGCTCTGTATGACGGCCATATTGTCAGTAAGTCGTGTAGCTCGGTTTGATGGCCAAAGTGTCAGTAAGTCGTGTGGCTCGGTATGACGGCCATATTGTCAGTAAGTCGTGTGGCTCGGTATTACGGCCATATTGTCAGTAAGTCGTGTGGCTCGGTTTGATGGCCAAAGGGTCAGTAAGTTGTGTGGCTCGGTATGACGGCCGTATTGTCAGTAAGTCGTGTGGCTCTGTATGACGGCCATATTGTCAGTTAGTTGTTTGAATTGTTTAATTTTCTGTATTGACGTTTTAAATAGATGTTCCATAGCATCGTGTGTTAGTGATTGTTTTAGTGTCGTCCTTATTGATTTGGTTAAGGCTAACTATCGTTCGGTCCGTCGTAAAGGTAGTTACCTATGTAATGGCAAGGGACGAAAATTTGCTCTATACAAAAACAAAAGCCTCATGGGCCCAAACGGTCACCTGAGTAAATTATGAAGTACTATAATTGTAGAATGTGTTTGTTTTCTTTTAAATTGGCACATAATTACTTTGGAAACAGGGCACCCATACTTACCTCGAGACCAGGCATACACATGCTATATAGAGTATTTACAGATAAAGTTGTAAATGTCCTAGTCAATCACAGGCCATGATGGCCATCTGGAATTTTACAATCAGCATGAAAAGTAACAAACTTGGTCGAAACTTCATAAGGAACACTTCTACTAAGAAAGCAATCGGTGAAGCCTTTCTTGAGAAGAGGTCAAAAACATCTCAGTTAATGACAGGTCAGGGTGCTTATTTTGGATTTTCTGATCGGCACAAAAAGTAATATAACATGTTCGGAACCTCATAAGGAACATTTGTACAAATGAAGAAGTGAGTTGCTGCAAATAATCTTGAGAAATTGAAAATTTCTCGTCTCAGCAAATCAGAGGCCAGGATCGGTTAACTTGTAATCTCCGATTGGCAATAACTCTCGAACTCGTCCGAGATCTTATTGATATAAAGCAGCTTAGCAATATTTTTCGAAATCCATTCACGTTTACTAAAGTTATCGCGCTCACAAGCACTAGCTCAAGTCCTATAGCCTCCGATATTATTTAAAATTTCAGTGTCTTATAACTCTGCGAGTTACTGTCTGATCGAGACCACTTGTGCGAGATCTTATTGATATAAAGCACCATAATACCATAATCGAAATAATTTCACTTCTACTCAAGATATCATGCTCGCAAGATAAAAGTTAGCGCACTACGCACGACGCACGGCGCACGACGACAGACGAAGACGGACGGCAATAAGTCACCATGAACGATGGTCAGGTGACATAAAAAACTGAGGGACGCATCTTTAAATAAATACTCTTTTGCGCTTAACGTATTGTTGAGAAAATGTGCTTGTCATTTTGACACCGGAATAAGTGGGAACGATCGACAATGTCCTGCTCTGCGAAGAGCACTAGAAACATCTTAAGGGCGATCCGCACGACAACCACAGCGTATGTAGGAGCACAAAACCATTCATGGGATTCAACTAGACCTTGTAAGAAGCAAGAAACGGCGAGATGGGTTAATGGATTTCTATGTAATAAATGGCAATGCAACTTAAAATGATTAATCAATTGTATTGCCCACCCTTGCCCATCATTCAAAAAAAGAATTAGATGCTTGAAAACATGTTGACTCCGATGTCAAAACCACACACAATGATCTACATGATAGATGTGTAGTTGTGTCTACGAAAAAATCATCTAATACATGTCATTCAATCTTTGTATACAAATACTTACCTTCTTGCATCCAAAACACTAGCTAATCAGATAGCTTTCCGAATCCTAGACTTCGAAATTCGCAAGAATCCTTATAGACAGCTTTTGATTACTGGCTCTTCTTTGTTGCTAAACCAAACCATTATCCGCACTTCTCTGTACCATTCTTAGTACCGAGACAGGGTTATACTCATAGTGTGACTCTGTTTACTCAAGAACCCAAATAAATGGAATGTAGATTTTGAAAATTCAAGAGATCTTTCGGTCGATCTCGAACACCCTTTTTCAAAAATAAATTGACTTTTCGACCCATCACACTACAACACCCCATACAAAACCTAAGGAACGTCTTCGTTCTCTCATTACGAAAGCTTTGTTTCCAAGAAATTCGAACGGCGGTTATTAGATATGATTGTAAATTGTTTAGGAGCATATTTTGAGAATAGAACATTAAAAGCAAAAATGAAGTAAACGGTAGAATGACTCGTTTCCTAATAATATCATTGAGTTTGGTGGCAAGATTTTCTTTCCAGCAGATTTAAGATTTTCCTATGGGAGGAAACTGTGCTCCTTTTTTCGAACGATTTTATTTTATTTCCTTATAAAGTTGAATTTATTAATGAACTTATCAGGATAGGTAACAGATATCTAGCAAAGTCTTTCAATTCCACATCAAGATATATCGACGAGACTGTCTTTGAATATTGTATATACCCCCCTGAGCTTGAGATTAAGAACACTGCAGATTTTCAACTTCTTTTCTTGATCTTTACTTCCAACATATGACCTTCATGGACGGCTTATCACGTAGCAGTACGATAAGCGGGACGAGTTCGACTTTCCGGTCATGAACTTTCCCTTTCTCGATAGTTACATCCCTGATTCCCCTACATGTGGTGTTTACATGTCGGAGGTGATTCGGTTTTCAAGAGCGTGCTCAGAATATCATGGCTTCCGTTATAGTTGTCGACAGCTGATGGACAAATCACAAGTTTTCCAAAGTAGCAGGTTGATGAAGACTATCACAATATCGGAGAGAAATTGGCGATTTCCTGTGTGCTATGAAGGTCAATGTTTTTTTTTTTTTTATTATGCTCATAAATGAGCCTTGTGGTTTGTTGTCACTTCTGGAGTACTCGTTTTTAGGACGTGACATTTCTTGGAATCAACCTTGATTAACATGGCCGGTATCGATGAAGCAGAAACCGCTTGCTCTTCCGAAATATCTGGTCTTTTTCTCCATGTATTTTTTCAAGACTCTTCGTGTAAATATTCCGTTTGTTCATATTTTGTTCTAGTTTTATAGATCTTCTTATTATCCTGCACCATGTCTACAATAGTCTTTTTATTGTGCTAATTAAGAGGCTCACCAGTTTTGTGGTAACTTCAAAGGCAGGATAATTTTAGTGTTGACTGAATTTGAACATTGGTAGGAATGACTGCAACGCATAGCATTTTGTGTGAAGCCTTATTTCTCAGACGTAATGGAAACAGATTATTCTTGAAATTGATAACAATTAAGTTATTAGAACCGAAGTTTTGGCGGTTTAAGATATTACAAAATAGCAAGGTAGTTGAATTTATATACAAAACCACAATTCAGCGAAAATCTTTGGCGTGTACAATATAAGCTGTTAATGATAGTATCGCCCCGTGGACAACTTATGGATGGGGAATTTTTATTTTGGGTGAAGACTATCTTGTAAATCGAGTTATTTACATGCAACTGAATTGCTGTTCTAATTGGTTGATTTAGCAGCATTGTTGTCCTGGGGAGAGCACCCTGGTAGATACTCGGGATAAAACGCCAAACAGTCGAGAAGTCACTGATCTGTTGGCTTGTTAGGAAACAAGTTTTTTCTCCGAAAACATCAAACGTGATGCTTGTGTTGTGTTATATAAGTGGCAGAGAGAAAATGTTTTGGTATCGCTGTGATCGCCGGCAGCAAGTGTTCACGTGTGTGGGTCTTCACTCACCGCGCACAGTGGCACATCCCAAAAAGTGCACCTTTTCTGACATCCAACTTTCGTTTTTATGTGTGGGAGGAAAAGCACGCATAGTTCAGAGTTCCCAGAATGTGCTAGATTCCAACTGGACAGCCCAATACCACGTACATGCTCCCCCAGTGACTCACCTAGCCGTTTCACTGGCTCTATGTTACAGATGAGGCTAATTATANTAAAATTGGTCTAGGAATGATCAGCTCATGGTCCTGACAAAGTTAAGTTAACATTATACTATTTTTTACTCAAATTGGTACATATTTCAACAACAAAAATAAATACTATAGACTCAGGTGACCGTTAAGGCCCATGGGCCTCTTGTTCAATATCAGTCTTAATTATGAATTTATCTTATTTCAAAATACATATTCGACATATGAGGGAGCTATGGTGCTTATATAGTTTCTATTTATTAACGACAAGGAAACTTTAACCAGAGCGAATTATCACTTGCATAATGAGTATGATACTAGTAAGGATGGATTGGTTAGATTGTACGTCCTCGTCACGAGGATACTCATTTTAACAGGTTGGAGTGTACGTCCTCGTCACGAGGGTACTCTATATACCAGGTTAGATTGTACGTCCTCGTCATAAGGGTATTCTTTATAACAGGTTAAATTGTACGTCCTCGTCACGGTAAGGTCCACAGGAATTGTTGAGGCCACGTTAAAGTGTAATATCACTGAAATGTCATTACGTTACGACCGGAGACACTGACAAAGAGTAGGCAAGGAAAGCCCTACACCGGTGCTTGACTGCGTGAAAACGCTCGTGACATAATGAATATTGTATCGTTTGCACTGATAAACAAATCAAGCCATTCACAGCATTGAGACAAGTACTGTCATTCTGTTTGCTGTAAAGCTGTGGTGCTTTCCAGGACACGTGAGCATATAAACGTCGTGATTTACGTTAGCTATGCTGGTGCGAGGAACGGTTGCCGTAATTTCAATGGCACCAGAATGTCGCTCAGGTAAAGCTGACAATATGGCGTGTGATACTGACACGCGGTCGTCATCAATCAAGAATCTATAGGTACCTTACTATTCTATTGTGTCCGTCTCGGAATTCCTAATCGTTCTGTAGGTATGAACTATTGGTCAGTTCTTACACGTCCTCCAAACCCTCTCCTTACCTGTGAACACCCGTCCTCCAAACCCTCTCCTCACCTGTGAACACCCGTCCTCCAAACCCTCTCCTCACCTGAGCACACTCGTACTCCAACCCCTCTCCTCACCTGTGCACACCCGTCCTCCAAACTCATTCCTCACCTGTGTACACCCTTCCTCCAAACTCACTCCTCACCTGTGTACACCCATCCTCCAAACCCACTCCTCACCTGTGTACACCCGTCCTCCAAACCCTCTCCTTACCTGTGAACATCCGTCCTCCAAACCCTCTCCTCACCTGTGTACACCCGTCCTCCAAACCCACTCCTCACCTGTGTACAACCATCCTCCAAACCCACTCCTCACCTGTGTACATCCGTCCTCCAAACCCACTCCTCACCTGTGTACATCCGTCCTCCAAACCCTCTCCATACCTGTGTACAGCCGTCCTCCAAACCCACTCCTCACCTGTGTACAACCATCCTCCAAACCCACTCCTCACCTGTGTACAACCATCCTCCAAACCCACTCCTCACCTGTGGACACCCATCCTCCAAACCCACTCCTCACCTGTGTACACCCGTCCTCCAAACCCTTTCCACACCTGTGTACACCCGTCCTCCACACCAACTCCTCACCTGTGTACACCCGTCCTCAAAACCCTCTCCATACCTGTGTACACCCGTCCTCCAAACCAACTCCTCACCTGTGGACACCCGTCCTCCAAACCCACTCCTCACCTGTGTACACCCGTCCTCAAAACCCTCTCCACACCTGTGTACACCCGTCCTCCACACCAACTCCTCACCTGTGTAGACCCGTCCTCCAAACCAACTCCTCACCTGTGGACACCCGTCCTCCAAACCCACTCCTCTCCTGTGTACATCCGTCCTCCAAACCCTCTCCATACCTGTGTACACCCGTCCTCCAAACCCTCTCCATACCTGTGTACAGCCGTCCTCCAAACCCACTCCTCACCTGTGTACACCCGTCCTCCAAACCCTCTCCATACCTGTGTACAGCCGCCCTCCAAACCCACTCCTCACCTGTGTACACCCGTCCTCCAAACTCATTCTTCACCTGTGTACACCCATCCTCCAAATCCACTCCTCACCTGTGTACACCCGTCCTCCAAACCCACTCCTCACCTGTGTACAGCCGTCCTCCAAACCCACTCCTCACCTGTGTACCCCCGTCCTCCAAACTCATTCTTCACCTGTGTACACCCATCCTCCAAACCCTCTCCACACCTGTGTACATTCGTCCTCCAAACCCACTCCTCACCTGTTTTCCCCCCTCCTCCAAACCCACTCCTCACCTGTGTACACCCATCCTGCAAACTCACTCCTCACCTGTGTACACCCGTCTTCCAAACCCACTCCTCACCTGTGTACAGCCGTCCTCCAAACTCATTCTTCACCAGTGTACACCCATCCTCCAAATCCACTCCTCTCCTGTGTACACCCGTCCTCCAAACCCACTCCATACCTGTGTACAGCCGTCCTCCAAACCCACTCCTCTCCTGTGTACATCCGTCTTCCAAACCCACTCCTCACCTGTGTACATCCGTCCTCCAAACCCGCTCCACACCTGTGTACACCCGTCCTCCAAACCCCCTCCTAACCTGTGTACACCCGTCCTCCAAACCCCCTCCTAACCTGTGTACATCCGTCCTCCAAACCCTCTCCATACCTGTGTACACCCATCCTCCAAACCCCCTCCTCACCTGTGTACATCCGTCCTCAAACCCTCTCCACACCTGTGTACATTCGCCCTCCAAACCCACTCCTCACCTGTGTGTACACCCGTCCTTTAAACACACCGTCCTCCAAACCCTCTCCTTACCTGTGTACACCCGTCCTCCAAACCCCCTCCTCACCTGTGTGTACACCCGTCCTTTAAACACACTCCTCACCTGTGTACACCCGTCCTCAAAACCCTCTCCATCCCTGTGTACACCCGTCCTCCAAACCCACTCCTCACCTGTGTACACCTATCCTCCAAACTCACTCCTCACCTGTGTACACCCATCCTCCAAACTCACTCCTCACCTGTGTACACCCGTCCTCCAAACCCACTTCTCACCTGTGTACACCCATCCTCCAAACCCTCTCCTCACCTGTGTACACCCATCCTCCAAACTCACTCCTCACCTGTGTACACCCGTCCTCCAAACCCACTCCTCACCTGTGTACACCCATCCTCCAAACCCTCTCCACACCTGTGTACATAAACGACACGTACACGATGACACCATTGCAGTATTGCTTAAACACAACAAAGTAAAAAAACAATCATGTAGACTACATCATAACTCACAAATCGGCACCACTTATTTTCTTTAAAACAAATGCAAATATTCGACTATAATGAACAAAAGTTACTACAATCTATGCCAGGATGAACTTGATCTGGTAGCTTGAATATTCTTACAAGGTTTTAATGAAATACTGTATAAAAGTAAGTGGCTCCATAAAAAGTTATAAACTGTTTCAATTAATCACGTTTTTTTTAATGTTGGTTCTGTTACGCACTGATAATTCCTAAATGCACGAAATGGTTGATTGTGTATGAACGTACGATTCATTGTTAAGGAAATATAACTTCCAACTACCTCGACGTTTTTTTAAATTTCAAAATACTTTGTTAAATCAGTTAGATTTAACGGGCTTTGACGGGTTCACTTCAACAAGCTGCTTTAAACCATTTGACCACGCACAAACATAAACAAGACAAGCACACTGGACGACCTCTGTTTACATAATCACATGTCAATATCTCAAGACGAAAACATAATGATGATGACCATCTGCCGAGCGGATATTTTAATGGAAAAATAGACGAATGTTTTTAGAATTCCAGCATTACTTGGCACCACCAGGACATTATAGTATATCAGCGATATGTTCGGATACCGACACCTGTCAGGTGTGTTGTGACGTCACACTTGTCGTACCACAACGTGGCAGGAGGTACCAAGGTAGCTTTAGTTGGGTGTACCGTGATTTAGTGTACCGTGATTTAGTGTACCGTGATTAAGTGTACCGTGATTTATTGTACCGTGATTTAGTGTACCGTGATTTAGTGTACCGTGATTTATTGTACCGTACCGTGATTTAGTGTACCGTGATTAAGTGTACCTGATTTAGTGTAGTGTACCGTGATTTAGTGTACCGTGATTTAGTGTACCGTGATTAAGTGTACCGTGATTTAGTGTACCGTGATTTAGTGTACCGTGCACCGTGATTTAGTGTACCGTGATTTAGTGTACCGTGATTAAGTGTACCGTGATTTATTGTACCGTGTTTTAGTGTACCGTGATTTAGTGTACCGTGATTTATTGTACCGTGATTAAGTGTACCGTGATTTAGTGTACCGTGATTTAGTGTACCGTGATTAAGTGTACCGTGATTTATTGTACCGTGATTTAGTGTACCGTGATTTAGTGTACCGTGATTTATTGTACCGT